GTTCAGTACTTGGAAGAGTCACATCATCCTATACTTCTACCCAGATCAATAAAACAGGTACCCTTTCATTTCATTACCACATATACCCCATGAGATTCTCAAAAATGACCAGAACATTATAAACTTCCCTCTAAAGTTATTTTAAAATCATACAGAGAATGTTTCAAAAATAATCAGACCATCCTAATTCTGCCTCCCTCCACCCCCATGTTTCAGATGAATACACAAGTAAAATTTGAAGTTACTAAGCAATGTTTTCTATTTTCCCCTTTCTTCATATCCTCATTCTTCTTTCTTGTACTCAGGCTGATAGACACAGATATTCGCTGGTATGAAGATGGCTGGGAAGCAGAAGGTAATGATAAAAAAGTAGTTTTTGCAGAACATACATTTTTGTAACTATTAACTATTTAATACTTAACTGAAACTGCTTCATTAAACTAAAGTTGTTTTGGTGACTATAGTGTCCCTTTAGAAACCAATGATGGATTCATCATAACAACCCATCTTAATAAGATTCTACATAAGAATATAGTATCTTGATATGATTGCAGGGCTGTATTGAGCTAGGACACAGGGTCTTTCAGGATCAGATTGTGATTCTAAAGGATTTATGAATTTGTTTCTTAAGGGCTCAATAGGACTGCAGTGCATCACTTCTTATTCTTTGTTTATCTTCTGAAAGACATCTCTTGCAGTCCATATTAGACGTTTGCAGTATATTGCTCTAATGAATGTTAAAACATCCATCTGCAACTTCTAAAAATCCTTCAATATCTCCTATATTAGTCATAATATCTCATTACCTATGTGAATGTTTATTGCATCCTTTTCTCTCTCAAAACTAGAGATATTAGGAATATTGATAATTATTACTGTAGCATCAGACACTGTTGCTATACATATCACTCCTACCAATCTTCTTCCGTTCTGCCATCCTGAGAACATTGGTCTTGCATTTCTTACAAGACATATCCAAGCATTATTCCTTTTGATCCGTATGGGCTTTAGCCGAACATCACTCTTTTAGCTCCTTCCTTACTCCTCCAGAGCATCATTCACAGGTTCTCTGTCCTGAATCGTGCCCATAGATCAACTATTATCCTATGGCATAAAGAGCATCACCATTTAACTCCACTTATAAAATCTAGAAATGCATCATTAACCTTCATTGCTTAGTATTGATGAACATCTTAGTTATTCATGCATCTGCTTTTGTCTTTCACAGGATCTCAGAGCTCCAATAGTGGAGCAAGTAACTTCCAGCTGGTACTAGACAACGTGAGTGCAGATGTTAAGGTAAGGAATTGGAACAATTTATTTAATTAATATCTTAGAGCATTGATTTAAAAAAAATAGATAAATAAATTCATTTTTGTTCTGATAGTATGGCTATGTATCTGTACTATATGTTAGTCTTAAATGAAAGCTCCAAGCACGATAATGAACACAGCGAGCTAGTCCCCTGTTGTCCTCCAAGAGTAAATAATGGTTTCACAACTTACCAGAGGTCTGCTGAGAGGCTGTCCCCACTTAATCAGTTGCTGGAAACTCCTGTAAGGAGCTTAACCCCTTAGTGACCAGATCACTTTTCAATTTTCTTACCGTTTGGGACAAGGGCTGTTTTTACATTTCTGCGGTGTTTGTGTTTACCTGTAATTTTCCTCATACTCATTTGCTGTATCCACACATATTATATACCCTTTTTCTCGCCATTAAATGATATTTCTAAAAATACCATTCTTTTTATCATATCATTTAATTTACTATAATTTGTTTAATAAAATATGATGATATAATTGAAAAAACACACACTTTTTTGAACTTTGACCCCCAAAATCTGTTGCGCATCTACAACAGCCAAAAAACTCCATTGAACACATGGTAGCAAAAGACAATAAAATACATAAAAATATGTAACTGTGCCGCTATTGCATAAAACAGGTACATTCATATCCCCAGATAGCTTAGATCTGAGCGCACATTATTACTGAATGGCGCTCAGATGACATACATACAGTTCAATTGCCATGGAGCTATAGCTATCTGGGGTATCACTGTTCAAATAGGGCAAGTCTCGAATGACCCGACTTTTTTGTCTTTGCAGGGGAAAATCAAGCGTTTCGACATGGGGCCATAGTCTAAAGGCAGCAGGCGGGCAACCAGACTCCGCCAATACACAGTGGTGAGATTGGTCTTGTCACACCTATATATGTATAATATATTATAATTAAATAATTTTACAATATATTATACATATATAATGCATCTATGATTTCATCATAAGTGTATTTTGAGATATATGTGAATATATATATCAAAGTACACTTATAATGAAATCATATAGATGCATTCTATATGTATAATATATTATAAAATGATTTAATTATTTTATAATATATTACACATATATAATATAGACACTCTTCACTTATCAGTTCCCTTTCTATGACCTGGTCGTAGAACAAATCGGTCGGTAAGTGAGGAGTTAAGGGATTCCCTGCTCTGGTGCATTTGTATTTGTCCTGAGGAAAGTCCCGATCGGGGACTGAAACATTGACCTTTGGCATTGATATTTTATCTTTGATGTAAGAATAAAAGTTACATTTTAAACGAAGCCTGGAGTGCGGACGATCTTTTGAAGTTCCTGTACACACATGACCTGGATCCAGTACACAGCATGTAAGCTAATCTACTTTTGAAGCCTGCAGTGGAAGGAACTTCGAGATATATATACATATATATATATATATATATAAAAAATCCTTGTTTGAAGTGCACTCACAGGACTCGGAATTATTTCAAATCGTGCTGTTTATTCAAAGCATCAAATTTCCAGTAAATGGTGTCAACGTATCAGTCCTCCAGGGACTTTTCTCAAGACAATTTGATAGTGTAACTCATTACATTTAAATATACATTGTGAAGAGTTGATTGGAGGGTGAAAGGATGAAAGCGAGGTCCTAAATGTGTAACAGCATCAGGGATATAGCTCCAAACCAGGGTAAACTATAATGGAACAACACAAAATATAGCACTAGATGCATAATTCTAGCAATTTTCTAGTGCTAGTGTCATATTTTGTGTTCTATACAATGACTCATCCCTGCCTCCTGTATTTAAAAAATGTCCCATTATGAGTTACAGAAAAGGGAAAAATCTGAGAGACTATTTGATGCACACAGATATAGTGTCCACAACACAGTCATTGCAGAAAGTGACGAAAGCAAGATGTTTTTGCTGTTTGAACTGTCTGGCGTGTAATTCTATGATACCGGGTAAAACCTTCTGTCACCCAAAATCTGGAAAGGTGTACACAATTAAATACCAGATTACGTGCAGGACCACACATGTTGTGTATAGAATTATATGCCCCTGTGGTCTCATTTATGACATCTAATGACCTAAGGGAATGTATGCGGGGTCACAGATCTACTATAAGTTCAGCACCACTGAGCAGCACTGCGAGCACTCCAGTCACCCGGCATTTCCTTGAGATGGGACATAGCCTGTCCTCACTTCACTTAATGGGAATAGATCACATACCCATCTCACCCAGAGGAGGAGATTGTGATAACCTATTACTCAGATGTGAGGCTTTCTGGATTTACATGTTGGAAACATTATCACCATCTGGTTTAAATGAGAAGAACTCATTTAAACTCTTTTAGAGCAGTCACATGACCCCTAGGGGTCCTAAATTGGAGAGGGGGGACTCTCTGGGGTCAGTCCAGAGAATCCAAAGAAGAAGACTGATCGCCGGCGGGGGAACCTCCCAATTTCAAGGCACTCAGTAAAGGTAAGAGCATCTGGAAGCTTGCAGATGGCTTCAGATGCTCTTCCCTACACTGCCGGGCGCCATGTGCAGCAAACCCGGAAGTGATCGCTCCGAAGGGGGGGGTGGATCGCAGTGTAGAGGGGTATTACATGATGTCTCAATATCGAGGCATCGTGTAATACCAACAGAGCGGCTGGAAGGGATCATGATCGCTTTCAGCGCTCAAAATAGCCGATGACGTACCATGTACGTTTGAGGTCCTTAAGGGCCGTTTCTGGTTGGATGTACCAGGTCCTTAAGGGGTTAAAGTTAGTTTCACTGTTTTAAACCCAGTTGAACAGGGACATACTCACTGGTTGAGATCAACAGGTGAATTAGGGATAACAACACACAAGAAGGAATTAGGAATTGTTATAGACAACAAACTATGCAACAATGTGCAATGTCAATCAACAGTGGCTAAGGCCAGTAATGTATTGTCATGCATGAAAAAGGGCATTAATTCTCGGGATAAGAATATCATTTTGCCTCTTTATAAATCACTGGAAAGACAACAACTTGAATATGCTGTGCAATTTTGTCACCTGTTCTAAAGAAGGATATTTTGGCACCGAAAATAGTGCAGAGGTGGGCTACACAATTAATAAAAGGAATGGAACAGTTTAGCATGAAGAAAGGTTAACAAATGTAAACCTCTTTAGTTTAGAAAAACATTGCCTCAGAGGGCGGATATGATAACATTATACAAAAATATTCCGGGGCCAATACAAACCATTGTGTGGAAACAAACAGGACTTTACATAGGACACGAGGTCATGCATTTAGAGTAGAAGAAAGAAGATTTAGTCTAAGGCAAAATAAATGTTTATTTACCGTAAAAACAATAAGGATATGGAATTCTCTGCATGAAAAGTGTTTTTTATCAGAGTCCATTCAGATTTTTAAACAGAAAATAGATCCATACTTGCAAAAACTGAATATTCAATTATATAATTTTAAACTGTAGGGCAGGCCTGTCCAACCTGCGGCCCCCCAGATGTTGCTGAACTACAACTCCCATGATTCTTTCGATTAAACAGATAGCCAGGGAATCATGGGAGTTGTAGTTCAGCAACATCTGGGGGGCCGCAGGTTGGACAGCCCTGCTGTAGGGTAATAGCTTCTTGACCCAAGGATAAATATGACTGGCATTCTGGGGACAAGAGGGTTTCTTTTCCCTAGTTTTTTTGCCTTCTTTTGGATCAACAGCAAAAAACAAATGTGAGGAAGGCTGAACTTGATGGACACATGTCCCTTTTCAGCTTATGTAATTATGTAACAGCTGAGTGTTCTTAGCCAATGAGCATACCTCAGTTTAGCTATGTGGTCAAATCTTTCTGCTGCAGGGGAGGTGCGGACAGGAACCCACCAAGACCCAAGTAAATTGTGAAACCATTCTATTTTCTCTTGAGGGTAACAGGACACCACACCGCACCATAAATAATACAACAAACTAGAGTGGTTATGGTGCTTAGAGTCTTCCATTAATGGATGTGTAAGAGAGCGTGACATATACAGTTAATGGTTCTTCATCCTAAAGAAAGCAAAATGCAATTTCCAATGTTGTCTTTAACATAAAATACGTATCAGTATATTAACATGTTCTCCATAATGAATGCATTCCTTTCACTCTGTCTATTCTTTATCCTAGACGCATTTCCCTCGACCCAGTCCTGTTTTGGAGAACAATCTGTGCCATGGAAGTTAAACAACTACATATGAGTAATTATTGTACGCACAGAAGCTGTAAACCGGCATTCCTGCATTCCACTTGGCGTATATTACTTATAAAATATATACGGAATAACTAACTGAGGAGAAAAAAGCTACCAACATGCAAACTTTTTGTATGGTAAAAGTCTAAACCAATCAGATTTTTTTGGCACAGCCCTCCAATAAAACAAAACAACTGCCTCCATGTTTCTCCTGGACCATGAACATTGTCATGAATAACGTTGCAAATACCCCAACTCTCAGTGTACTAGCATGTTATGTTACCATAATACTGCTGGGGTGAAGAATGCAAGCTATGCCACCTATTAATAATAATATAGTAAATAAGAGGTTAAAACTTTCATATTTTGATGCATTGAGGCACTGTTTTTGTAAATCTATTTAGATAAACCACAGATTTTTTTTCTACTGTTAAAATTTATTTTAATAGAATATTTTGAACATTTAAAGTACCAGATTTTAATTTTTTAAAGGGATGTGACTATGTAGTAACCACACAACTGCATTGATCTCTTCATTAGTAGAACTATACAAAGAACAAGAGTTTATCCAGGTAAACATGACTAAAAGAGATTTTACCTATTGCAGAAGGAATGGTTATTTTTTAGTAAACACAATATATGTAGAATTATCTTCCTAAAGAGGTTATTTTACCAGATTCTGTACATTTAATAGCAAAATTGGAAATCACTTTAACCTGAGTTTTTTTGCATTCTTTTAGACCAACAGCATTAATAAATACAGGTACGTGAAATGTTGAAAAAGGACAGACTCCAGTCTATAATATTGTGTGGCCATTAGTTAAATTAATAAAGCATTTATTTATAAGGTTAAAGACAGTGTATATTGAAAAAATATGATGGCCCATCCTTCAAACCTTTAAAGGCAATATAGTGGTTTACTTCAATCAGACTATCTATTGTTATACATATTTTTTTTACATTTTTAGTTTGTTAATTAAGGCATTATATTTTTATATATCACTGATATAAATTAAATATATATTTATTAAATATTTATGTAATTGATAAAGCAAAATGTATTTATAAATCTGTGTAATTTATTTTTTTATATTTATTTATTAAAACAATTAATAAAATAAGAAATTCGTAGTCTAAGCACTTGGCTTACAATGAAGAATGTAATATTAGCTAGAGTGCAATAAATATGCTTGTTTTGCAAACATTACGGTTTTCTGAATTTTTTTTAAACATTCAAAGAGTTTTTTACTAAAGTGAGAATTCAGTGCATGGTCAAACGTTCACTATGATCTTAAATTCACTTTGAATTCTCAATTTAGTGAATAACCCTGTCAATTTAACTTTAAAGGGACATCCCAAGCACCATAAGCACTTATGCTCTTTGTATAGATTATGGAACAAGGTGTTCCCTGTTCACATCTCCCTTTGTTACAAAATTATTGTTGCTAAACATTCATTTACTGAATGGCTGTCACTTTTGAAGACAGCAGGTGAAGCATGCAGGACTGAGAGTCTATTTCAAAGCCCCTGAATAGTATAGTCTGAGCAGGGATCAGTGCAGACATGGCCCTGTTGACTATAAATCCCAGAGATTCCAACAAGTGTACCGTATATCCAGTATGTTGTAATAGGAGGGTGTTCGTCCTGCAGAACAGGAGGATGTCGTCCAAGTATATAATGCATTGGATCTCTTGTGCTCTGAGATGGGCCACTACTGGTTTAAGCATCTTCGTGAAACACCACGGTGCAGAGCTGAGACCAAAAAGGAGGCAATGTTCCACTTTTATTCAATGTGCACTGTAACCTTTGTACTGAATACTACCAGGGCCG